TTTGTTTCTGTGAGAGGAAGTTTAAATCAAGTTTGTTTATTCATTTCATTTATTTTGCTCATTCATGTTTATGATATTAAAAAATAAGTATTTCAAGTTAGCATAAATAACAATTCTAGGAAAATTATATATTTGAAAAAAATTACTTACTGAGAAGGAAAGCATTGTTTTACATTTTTCCAAGTCTTGCATTGCTTCTGCATTCAGTTGGTTGCAGTGTGTTGTTTTGGTTGACATATATATCCAGTTTCACACATATATGTGTGATGGAAAAGTGAGGAAGATCTTAATCATCTTCTCAAGATAATTGTGGATATTCTTCTATGATACAACACTGAAACTTGGCCAGTGGTGGTTCCATAAACATCAGTTTACCGTTAGGAAGCTGAAGCCATGCTGGTGAGCTCTTCAGACTCTTTCACATTAAGACCAGTTGGTGTGTTCTTCACTGAGAATGGCTCTTTCACCCATGCGTGGTTTCATTACATCATGCCTTTGTTATTTTGAATGTTGGTTCGCTAGTTATTTCAGTCTTCCAAATGTTGACCCATTTAGTGTTACAGTGTAAAAATAAATTATATTTGTTGACATTCTCACTGAGTTCATCAGAAAGGTCTGTAAGTATTGGTAAGCTCTTAAGCTCTTAGTAGTGGATACACATTTTCTGAAATTCTTATTTCCTCTTGAAAGCTCCAAGTTTGTCACTGACAACAAAGGCTTTCAGCTGTCCTTGAACTGGCAGGCCTTCCTTGTTTATTTTCAAGAAAACTTCCACTCTAATACCCAAATCTAAACAGCTACAATTTGTCAGTAGGTCATTCTGATACGTAAAAATGGTGTTTCATGAAAAAGAAAACAAAACACAGCGAGATTAGCTCTGACCTCAGTGCACAATTTCTTTTCCTTGTTACACTTTTCTTTTCCTTGATACAAAGTACTTGTTGTACTTTGGTGTTCACTCTGCTTTTTACATCTTTCTCACCTCATCACACAGGATATTAAAAAGATGAATACTCAGCGGGTTGAGATTTTAATTTCACAGAATCATTTTCACCACTTTATCATGGACATTCTTGAGGGAACCTGGCTTTTTTTTTTTTTTTAATCTGTGGCATGCATGACAATGGCTTTTTTTTTTTTTTTTAAATCTGTGGCATGCATGACAATGCTGACTCGTGCTAGGACCACTCAGGCAGCTTAGTGCCCTGTCTGTATTCTTGCTAAGGCATCGGCATTTTCCCTCACTATTGCTTTTGTACCATCAGTGCAAATCTCAGCATATAACATCTTTAGATTATTATGAAAATAATTTTCTTTTGTAGATCCCCTGAAAGAATCTCAGAGACCCCAGGGATCCATGGTCCTTTCATTGAGAACAGCTTCTCTAAGGGGAGAAAGTGTAGCTTACAAAAAAGGAATACAGGTAAAAATCCCTTAATCAACCTCCTCTTCACTAACTTGGCCAGTAAAGTCTCCTGCCATTCCTGTGTCACATGGTAGCTGCCCCCAAAGCACGCTGTCAGGGCTGGTGGGCTCCCCTCTGCCGTGACGTTCATTTCTGTTCCCACCGGTAGAGTTATGTGCTTAGCAAGGATCAGCCGTATCTGTTCTCAAACCTGGTAATGCCAGTTTCACTAATACCTGTAATTACACAATTTTAATATTATGTAAATAGATGAAGTGTGAATTCAAAAAGAAAAAATCATGTTTCTAAGACCAACTTCAATGCTTTGGAATGACTTACTGTAAAAGACTGCTGTCATAATTTAGTGTGGGCGAGATTTGTAAAAAATTAGGGGAAAACTCATAAAAATCTGGACGCTTCTGCATTGCTTCACAATTATCTTTAATTTCTTCCCATATTATAAAGAACCTACAGCTGGGAATTGTGATGATGTGTTATGTGTATTCTTTGTAGGAAGAACAATGAAGCTCCATCTGTAGACTCATATTCAAAGAACAGGCTTTGGCTCACCTTCCGAAGATTGGTTCATGTGTGTAATACAGATATATTTTAAATTGAAACAAAACTCATAAATTAAGGTCTGGATTTTTGTAATGATTTTCCCACTGAGCCAGCTTTTCTAGTGAATTGATCTGCCACTGGCCAGGATCACGTTGAGTAAGATAGTTGCTCGGCTGCCATTCATGAACTGAGAGCAAATTTCCTTTGGTTTTTATGACTGTGAAATAGAGTCTCCTCTGTCTTTGCACTTTGTACCTGGGCAGGACTATGTTGATAAAGGATTAAGAAGAACCTTTTAGAAATACAGCTATCACAAGTTGGCTATTATAATGCTACAGGGGAAAAACGGGTATGCTAGTATGTTGTTGAATTTGGTTGAAATAAGCAAATAAACAACCTATATGCTGGGGCTTGGAAATTTCCACAGAAACTTGCATAATATTTCATGAAGGATGAGAATTATGTTAACTATTCTGTTGTCTGTAAAAATAACCTCATGGGTTAATCAGACATGCAAGGGGTTGGTAGGTGATGGCAGTTGACTGACGTCAGCTTTATCAGGCTAGGTATGTGTATACTGTCATCTGTAGATGCATGATGACATGGTACAGTGACATGGGCCAGGGAAGCAAATGGTGTGGCTTCACCATGAGTCAGTGAAGAGTGCGTTCCCAGCTCCCTGGCAGTGAGCATGCAGCATGAGTTGGTATTTTCCTAGAAGTCTCAGTCTGTTTACAAGCAGAACACGCACTGGCAAGCTGGCTGCCTAGAGCAAGACAGCTTTGTCTGTGACCAAATGGTTAAGAAATTCACCAATCTTAGTCTTTTTTGGCAACAGGTTGTATCACCAGTACAGCTAACCCAACACCGAAGTCATTACTAAATACAAAAGATCCCTCCAAATTCTTGACTTCATAACAATCATTAACAGTGTGGTTGACAATAAATTACAGGTTTGTTTCTTTGCTTTCCCCCCAAAAAAAAATTTATTGAGAGTCTACTCTGTGCTACACACTGTTCTATGATGGGGGAATACAGTGGTGAACACATCAGAGGGAAAAAAACAAACCCTACCCTTCTAGAAGTTAAATTCTAGTAAGACACATATATTTAGTAAGGGACCCAAAAAAGAAAGGAAATGGAATGAAGTATTGTTAGTTGGGGATGGGGAGGGGATGATGAAATATTGACTGGTGGCAGGAAAGGCTCACGAAGATCACTTCTTCAGCATCAACTTGTGAAGAGGCTATCTCTCAGTACACTGTTACGTATTTTTCAGTTGAGGTCTGTGGGATGTTTTTGAGAGAACTCCTACATATTAATTTTTATCAATTCTACCTGAAGTCTAGCATTTCTTCCTGTCATGAATAGAAGTAACCTACTGTAACAGTATGGGGAGAATCTGTAACTGTGTCGCAGGTAGATATCACAGATATATTTTCATATCACATTACAGTTGTTACAGACATTTCAAAATGTATACTCATCACCACTTACAAATTATTGTAATTATTATCCCTGCCATTACATGTTGGTACCTCATGCCTTAATAAGAACCTATATCAGGCAATAGTGGGAAACGGCGGGGAGGGGCAGGGAAGTGGGATTGGCAGTAGTGGGAATCTGCCGGGGGAGGGGAGGACACACCTCATCAACAAGGGTACCTGCATAATGAACATGTATATACTTAACCCTGAATTGTACCCCACATCTTTAAGGAAAAAAATATTATTTTGTATTGATAATTGCATCTCGGTATAATAGATTTCCTTATATACGTACATATTCTTATGAATTATAAAACATTTCTGAGGCATCATCAGATTATCAGAGGGGGTTCATGGCTTAGAACTATGAAGCTTTAGCGTAATCCCTAATTAAGGGCTTGCTTCCACCTCCCACAGCACACTTTTCATTTGTTTCCCTCTCTTAGAGATTACTCAGCTATATCCTGAACAGGTGGGAAGGGTTTTCTGGGTAATTCTTCAGAGCTCTGGTGGTGAAAGATCCTTTCTCACTTCCTGTGTAATGCAGGCCACACACTATTAAAATATTTGCAGAAATAATGTAGCCAGTCAAGCATAACTTTGCCTTCCTAGGAAAGACAAGGTAACACTTCGTAAAGATTTGCCTTTAGACTTTTCAGAAAGATATTTCAAGGGCCACAAAGACAGTGCCATTCACTTTATGGGGAAAAATGAGATGTAGAATTTCTGAGTTAAAAGGCTGAGGTGAGTGGATTGACTGAGCCTGCGGTTCGAGACCCGCCTGGGCAACTTGGTGAGCTGTCATCTCTACAATAAATAAAAAATCAGCCAGGTGTGGTAGCGTGCCCCTGTAATTCCAGCTACTCGGAAGGCTGAGGGGGAAGGATCCCCGGAGCCCAGCAAGTCGAGGCTGTGGTGGCCGGGAGCGGCCACTGCACTCCAGTCTGGGCGACAGAGTGAGACTCCAACTCAAAAAAAAAAGAATCTCCCATTTACGTACATCAGCCATTCAGTCACTCTTCCCACTGTGGTGACCATGTAGATCTGTCCAGATCTGGACGTCATGGATTATAGACCACGATACCCTCACATTGATTGACTGTGGGACATAAGGTGAAGACCCAAGTTCAATTGCCATAGCAAGGCAGCCATACGAGCAGAACCAAGAACCCCTTTATGTAAGTGAAGAGGGAGGGTAGGCGCTGGCTGGATTCAAAACTCCAGACAGTTCTGCCCTGCCAACATGCTCTGCACTGTAGATCTCTCTGAATAGATTCTACTGCCTCTCTTCATGAAAGAAAAACACAAAGTAAAAATTCCCAAAACCTTGACATTGCCAGAAGTCTGGGAGAAAAAGCACTCACTCTGATTTTCACATTTCAGACAAATTTGATAGCATGCCTGGTGTTGGAGGGAAGTCAACTCCATGCCCCCCAACCTCTTGGAGCGCATCTTCAGTTGGGCCCTTTAGAAACAGCCGTTGGAGGGGTGTGGTGAGAGCCACGAGCCTTGGCGAACTCATTTCTGTGGTTTATCTCCCTTTGCAGGTTGGTGAAAGATGCTCCCTGGGATGAGGTCCCGCTTGCTCACTCCCTGGTGGGCTTCGCCACTGCATATGACTTCCTGTACAGCTACCTGAGCAAGACACAGCAAGAGAAATTCCTCGAAGTGATTGCCAATGCCTCGGGCTATATGTACGAGACTTCCTACAGGAGAGGGTGGGGCTTCCAGTACCTGCACAACCACCAGCCCACCAACTGCATGGCCTTGCTCACGGGAAGCCTCATCCTGATGAACCAAGGTGTGTGTGGACACAGCTGAGGCGATGCTGTGCTGACGGCAGTCATGGCTGCCATGTTGAGAGCAAAGTGCTGTTGTAATAACTGCTCTCAGGACACGTGCGTCCTTGGAGCCTAGCTAAGTCCATGAGGTCGAATCATCCTAGGGCATCCTGGCGGTAACTTAGCCTGCAGGTTATCTAATTATGACTTACGATTGTTGCCATATCCTCACAGCACAGGCGAATATTCATTTTTCCAGAGAATTTTGACAGTGAAGACAGCCAACCTGGAATAAATTGAGTTTCTAAAAGCTAAACAGGTGGTTTGTTATTCAAAATGAGTATTCCTAGCACACAGATGTGAATCATAAAATCACTACTTTTTTCCTCTAAAGATTTAAAACCAATCTATATTATTTACATCAAGATTTGAAGCAATCTATATTATTTACATCAAGATTTATGGGATATATAGCTACTTTGCTTTATCATTTTACATATCTAAGATTGCATTTAAAATTACAGTGAGTTGTTAGAATATTAAATGTGAAATTGTGGGCTTGGAAGTCTAATAGAATGTACTCTTGATTACATTCCCCATGAGACTTTGTAAGCATTTTGTTGATTATATAACATTATAATCTTACCCAAATCCAGCTTTCTCTCATGTCATATCAACCAACCATCACTTTTAATTTGGTCTCAGAAAAAAAGAAACTAACAGCTAGCCAACCTCTAAGTTCAGTCTCTTTCCACTATGTTTCGTGGCCTCTCCCGTAAGAGAAATTTTGTTTATAATATAATAATTTAAGGAAAGTTTAACTAGAAAGGTGAATTTTCATCCTAGTTCCCATGTTCCCTCCTCTCACAAAACCAAAATTAAATGCGAACAATATGAGAACCCACTGTCAAACTATTTTATTAGCCCCAATCCCCATGAAAAGGCAGCATTGGGAATTCCTTCTAGGAATTCTGAGGTGAACCAGATCTTAGCTTGAGGTTTGGGGTCTTCATCTATTATATTTTGTTTTTTTAAATGAAGTTTTGACTCTTTAAGAACAGGGACAGAGTTTGTTTCTTCATTCTTCCTTGTAGATAAAATCATTCCAAATAATAAGAAGGCACCTAAAATACTGGTTTGGATTGGATCAGAGTTTGTCCTCCTCTCTGGCAGTTTGCCTGTACATGCATTTTCTGAGGAAAGTGATGGTGGTTCTGATATACCCTCTTCTGGAATCCCTGTTAGGAGTACATGTGTTTATGAGAAGACAAACAGAAGGAGTGTGGCATCTCAGGTCCTGCAGGTCTCAGTCCATAACCAGACCAGCACTCTCACGCTGACTACAGGAGCTTCTCTGGCTGTCTCAATACTCCCAGGTTCTCAGGGCCAGCCCTGTGGACACCGACTGAGCGAGCTTAGAGTGTGTCTGTAGCTCCCACTGGGCTCATGAAATTTTAAAAGCAGGAGAATTAGGATTGACCCTCCGTTCTGCTAATCCTATCTAAGGCTTGGTGCAGAGATATCACAAGTAGGTTAGACCACATGCAAGGAGATTAGAAATCAGCAGGAGAGTAGACAGGCATGAAATGTTAAAATGATTTCACCATAGTCAAAACAACACCAAAGAGTGGAATGAAACATGTCATGAAAAACCTGAGGTTAGATATCAAATGAAATGTGTTTAAGTTTGAACTCAAGAGAATAATGTTCTTTCGGTGAGGTTGGGAAGGTTTATGGAGCCTTGGAGGATGGATAGGACATAGATAAGTGATGATAAAGAACTTTTCAGCTGGACACGTGGCTCATGCCTGTAATCTCAGCACTTTGGGAGGCAGAGGCTAGAGGATTGCCTGAGTCCAGGGGTTTGAGACCAGCTTGAGCAACGTGGCGAGACCTCGTCTCTAGAGTAAATAAAAAAGTCAACTGGGCATAGTAGCACATGCCTGTGGTTCCAGCTACTTAAAAGGTTGAGGCAGAAGGATCACCTGAGCCCAGCAGGTCGAGACTGCAGTAGCCGTGAATATGCCACTGCACTATAGCCTGGGCAACAGGCTCTGACTCAAAAAAAAAAAAAAAAGAAAAAAAAGAATTTTCCAGGGCAGGTGTGTGGATGGTGGAAAATATGTGGCATGGTTTCAGTTAACAACAGTCGGTACTTTGTGTTGACAGAAGTTTGCAGTGTACAAAGCACTTTGGTAGACCATTGCCTGATGTGGGTGGTGAGGAACAAACAAGGAAAGTCAGGCAAGGGAATATCCAGGGAACAGGGTCTGGGTTTAGGCATCAATCACATTGTTCTCTAGAGGGAGATGGAGGACACAGAAAGGAAAAGGATGAAGATGGTGGAGTTTACACTGGGATGAGAGAGAGAGTGGAGATGGAAAGCTCTCCTGGCAGGAGTGAGGGCACTGACCAGTCACCTCTGCACAGTTGAACCCAAGAGCAGAGTGGCCCCATAAGAAGGGACCTGGATTTAGGCCCCAGGGCTGGTGGAACCCGGGACTCTGGAAGCCTCACATCTGGCACCCCCTACTTGGCCATGGTGGAATGGTCAGCTCTGATAAGGACACACTTGTCTGTGGGAATAAAGTAATATGGCCCCACCCACACTAGGAAGCAGGGAGCTTAATTTTATCCTCAGGGGTTGTGCATTTTGAAACAGAACAAAACAAGCTAAACCTTAAATCTAAAGACCCAGGTCCGTTTCAGAATTCTGTTTATTTTTTCAGTCATATGCTAGGGGTCTGGATCAAGTCAACTTTTCTGTAATTTGGGGGTAAAAAAATGCATAATTGGGTTGTTAAAAGGATTAAGTAAGATTCTGTTGCGTGCTGTGTAAATTATAAATGTCATAGAAATGTGAGGGGTTGTTATTTTTACCTAAATGCAAGAATTCTAGAAAGCTAGCTTTTCTGGGTCAAAGGGATTTTTAAAAATCTCTCAGACTTATGATTTTCAGTGGGGAGATTGACAAAGGTGACACTTTCAGGAATTGCTGAACAAAATCCTAGAGCTCGCTTTTGGAGGACTTGGGACTCCCAGCTGACCTTTCTGTCTTTAGATTGCCTTTCCAGGTTTCTCGTCCTGCTGTGCTGCCTTTTCTGATCCTGTGGAATTTAAACACACAAAGGATGAGAGGGTGTGTCTGATGAAGTATAAATTGAGACTGTCCATTTAGCACTTATAGTATTTGCAGCTTATTACAAATCCTCTAAAATAATGGTACATATTTTATAAAGTGATAAGCTTCAAAGAACGTTTTCCTAGAGTATGTTTAGGAAAATTGAATAGAAGTCTCAGTGTACAAATCTTTTCTAGCAGATTTAGATTACATACATTTGTTATCTTGTTTGTGATGTAGCTTCAGTTTATTAAGGATTAGAAAATGACCGATACCCTTTTAAGGACTTATCTTCATTTAGTTAGTGAGTGGCCTGTATTCGAGAATGTCTTAACTTGCATTCGTGTCCCATCCCAAACCTGAATTAGCAGGATGTTATGTATAACATCAGCAGGTGAGAGTTTTACAAAATGCAGCTTGTAACATAAACTTAGTTTATGACTCAGAGTGTCTTATCTGGCCATGTTTGTGTTTCTGCCTCATGACAGCGTCATTGTTTCTGTGTGTTTCTGTTCCTCAGGGTATCTTCAGGAGGCCTACTTATGGACCAAGCAAGTCCTCACCATTATGGAGAAGTCTCTGGTCTTGCTCCGCGAGGTGACGGATGGCTCCCTCTATGAAGGAGTTGCATATGGCAGCTACACTACTCGATCCCTCTTCCAGTACATGTTTCTCGTTCAGAGGCACTTTGGCATCAACCACTTTGGCCACCCGTGGCTGAAACAACACTTTGCGTTTATGTACAGAACCATCCTGCCAGGTATAGTGAGAGTCAGCAGTGGGAAAACATTATACTCTTGTCATGTTTTTCTGATTATGAAAATGAGCTGGCCTAGGAAAGGAAATGAGGTCCTTTGGGGTTTATCATCCTGAGATGGAAGGGATTTTTTTAATCAAAGAAAAATTGAATTCAAGAGTTGCATATAGCCAGAACATTTTGGGAGCTAATGTGAGGATTTATGATGTAGGCATTGTAAAGCTCAGAGCATAATAATGGATCAAATATAGTTTCGAGTACCCACAGTACTTTTATTTTTGTATATATACAAACTCAAGTACATACACAAATTCATTTTTGTGAATCTAAATAAAATATAGACACTTAGTGATTACACATCAATTTTCCTTTGTGTCATCCCTGATCAATCTTATTTTAGTTTTAATTTTTTTTCTAAACCATACAGACATAATTCACCATGAAAGATTATACCTACATATTTAAATGCAGCTTTAGTGTTTTCTTTAAATAATTTATTGAAACAAATAGTATAGTATAGAAAAGTAAGCAAAATAGCGAATTGCTATAAAATTAGGATCTCTTGTTACTATGTAGCTTAGCCTTCTGAGAGAGCTAGCTCTTCAAAACAGATGCATATGATTTGATAGTTTATTCCTTTCCAGGAGAACTTTGTAACTCATCTTATTTCTAAAATAGAACTAAGATGTTAGAAAAAATTGGGGAGGTAAATTTTCATCAAGATGAATTTCCCACAGAAAAGGCAATTTTTAGAAGTGATTCTAGACCTATGACAGATAATAACCCAGTATCTAAATATTCTTGTTCTGTTAGTAAATATATGTATTAGATAGAATCGCCATCATTGAATTAGTTACACGTAAAATATTGCAGAGCAAAAGAACCATTTTAAGATTTCATTTAGACCCACCCTCAGAACCATATTGTTGTGTTACTGTGTATTCTCAGACACATGAGAGAGGCCTGTTTTGTAATTCATCTTCATAAATGAAGACCATCTAAAACTGGGGAACTTTATGAGTCCTTAGTACTCTGTATTTGTGCTGAGATCTAGCAGCCAGCCACACGAGGGCTATGTCTTCTGGGAGTTGTGTGTGTGACTACTTCCCAAGCTGGAGAAGACAATATGAATCCCTCTGAGAGGAACATGTCTATGTCTGTGTTAATTCAACATCTATGTGCCAGGCACTGTACTAGGCAGTGGGTTCTGAGAAGAATAAAACATATCCTCTGCTTACAGGAACTCACAGACTCATCAAAGATAAAATCACATTTTATAGGTTTACTTAGAAGATCACTTTACTACACTGTTAATTACATCAATACAATTATGGTAGCATTTTGGAAGAGATTCTATGTTAAGTCCGTCTGTTTTCAACTAGATTTCTTTCTCTTTTTTCTGCAGTTGATATTTTAGTAGTGATTCTTCCTGCCTGGGTCAGAGTTTTCTTGCATGCTCCTGCTCGCCTCATGAACATCTGCAGCATATCCAGTCTTACCTTACTTTTATTTTCCTTCCCTATTTCAGTAGAGGTCTCAGGCTTTACGCTTCCTGCATTTTCTCTCCCTTAAATTCCAGTGGTACATACTGGCAGGAGCCTCTCTAGGAATTAACTTTTCTTCCAAAGAAGCTCGGTCTCTCCCCTGAACTTTATTTATTTACTTATTTTTTTGAGTCTGGTTCTCCCTCTGTTGCCCAGGCTGGAATGCAGTGGCACGATCATGGTTCACCTCATCCACGACCTGCTGAGCTCAGGCGATCCTTCCACCTTAGCTTCCTGAGTAGCTGAGATTATAAGCACACACCACTGCACCTGACTAATTTTTTAATTTTTTTGTAGAGACAAGGCCTCACCGTGTTACTCAGGGCTGTCTCAAGCTCCTAGGCTCAAGCAATCCTCCCTCATCAGCCTCTGAAAGTGGTAGGATTATAGGTGTGAGCTACTGCATCCAGCTTTCCCCTGAACTTTATATACAGCAAAACTTCCATTCTATTGAAGTCAAGTTGAAGCATCTTATGTTATTATCTTGGCCTAGGATAGGTTGAGTTGTGGGAGGACTAGTCCTCACTCCAGGTTCAGGAACCCAAAATGTGCATGTGAGGGTATCCCATGTATATATACAAATATAATTGCAAATAGCAAGACAGTGAAAAATAAGGCAGGCAACATGCATGCCTATTGTAGTGTAGCACGTCCGTTACCAAGGCCAAGTCACCACCTACAGGCTTGCACAGAAGATCCATGGAAGACCTTTCAAGGGATTCTGATTAATTGGTTTGGAATGGCACGTGGGCATTGTGGTGGTATTGATTTTATCCAATCAATTTCACAATTGATTCTAATTTGCAACTAGGTTTGAAAATGATTGTTTAACAGAGGGATATGAAGCTTTAAACTTAATACTTTCAAACTTCTTTCCTTAGGGTTTCAAAGGACAGTGGCTATTGCAGACTCAAATTACAACTGGTTTTATGGCCCAGAAAGCCAATTAGTGTTCCTGGATAAGTTTGTCATGCGTAATGGTAGTGGCAACTGGCTGGCTGACCAGATCAGAAGGAACCGAGTGGCGGAAGGGCCTGGAACTCCATCCAAAGGGCAGCGCTGGTGTACCCTTCACACAGAGTTTCTCTGGTATGACACACTGGGCTGGCTTTAGAAGGAAGTGACACCCAAGGGTCCTTCATGCTATGCATTCATTTTTGCATTTAAAAAGAAAAACTGATCTAAAATGCTGTTCTTCCATGACTCCTAAGTACATGAAGCCTCAACTCAGCTCATCTCACAGTGCTTGAAGCTCTGCTAGAAGTGTCACTTTACACTTAAGATCTAGTTACTTGGCAGGCTTTGGTTCTCTCACATTAGAGATGTCCTGGGCTTATTCTGTTTCATGGATAAGCAGGTTTTGATTTTGCATCATTTTTGAAATCATATAAAGAGAAAACTGCAGCATTTAGACTCAGTTATTCTGATCATCACACTAAAAAAAAGGTAGAAAAATATTTTGCTTTGTTTTAGTAAATGGAGCATTATAATCTTCTAATAGCAAAGCTGTTACTAAATTTTCAAAAGTGTTTAAAAGTGTTTGACAGTATGTGACAGCTTCACTTTGATAATAAAAGGACCGTGTAAATTTTTTTGCCTTAATCTTTTAAGCCCAGAAGGAGAAGCTTGGGTCTCCTTTTTAAAGTATTGCCAAATATATTGTTGGCATCCAGTAAGTTAAAATCAAAATTACAGGGTACTGGTTAATCATGAATCCCTGATATCTTTTCAAGCTCCTGAAATTTGCATTCAACTCCAGAATAAGCTGTCTTATGGTTTGTTTCTCTTTATTCCTTTATTCAAAATTTTAAAAATAAAGGAGGAAAAATATGAAAATGGTAACTGTCTATAGTTTAACTAGTATTTTAAAACAATTTTTACAGATAATCTAAGTATATTAAAAAGCAACTGTTCCCAATCCTCTCAAGAGTATGGAATAACTATTTAATAGTGTTATCCATAAAAGAGTTAGCCATAAATATTCAGCCAAGAGAATTCTATAAAACTAACTATCCGATTAATATAATAGGTCAGACTACTATATAGGTCAGATTAATGTTACATCTAACTTACTTAGAAATCTGCTTTATAGTACTGTACAAACTACCAAAAATGGAGAAAAAAATGGCCAGTTCAGTATGTATTGATACTTGTTAATTCATATTAGTTAAGCCAAAGTTGTACTAGACCCAAGTGAGACACAAGTTCTGATGTCCTGAAACTGAGACTCTAGAATACAGGTGAAACAGCCAAAGGCAAACACCAAGAAGATTAACTCTACCATAGGTGATTGATTCACTTCAGGAAAAAGTATATGGGAACTGGTAATAAATATTCACCATAAATAAAAGTGAGAAGCCATTTATTGTCCAAGAAGCCTGGCAACATGTACAGATTTAAAGCAAAACAAAACCTCAGGCTCTGGCTACAATTATAAATCCTCCAATATTAGATAGTTTCCTGAATTTCTTCCATTTGTAGTCTCAGATATGGTATTGGTAGTCAATGTCATCTAGTATGTGAATTTCTATATTTCAATTTATTTTCTAGAGAAAAAAGGCTGGAGGAAGACTTTATTTCAGCACCAAACATTCGATGATATCAGTTACTGCAGAACAGTACTTCATTACAACTGAGGCTTGTGGCCCAGATCCTAACTCAAGATTCCCTAGAAAAGGATCCCCAAGCTAGAAATCTGGATGAAGTACTTGAATCTGTGAGCCCCAGTGACTTGGGTGACCACTCTGAAATCAGCACACAAAGAAGGCCCGTGTAGAGATTAGCAGCAGAAATCACTACGGGCTCAGACCCAGGGATCACAGATTATGTACGCTCCTCTACCAGTTGCCAAGGGTTTCCCCTTGTACACGAGGGTTATCCGTGGGGGTATTCACAGATGTCCCTTATAGACTCTGCATTGCCAGTGCTCTGGGCAGCATTTGTGTGTTATGTCTTTCACACTTCTCGTGTGTTATTTTCACATTCATCGGAAAACCCATTAATGTTTTCACATTGATTTCAGGTATGACGCCAGCTTGAAATCGGTTCCTCCTCCAGATTTTGGGACCCCGACACTGCATTATTTTGAAGACTGGGGTGTTGTGACTTATGGAAGTGCACTACCTGCAGAAATCAATAGATCTTTCCTTTCCTTCAAGTCAGGAAAACTTGGGGGACGTGCAATATATGACATTGTCCACAGAAACAAATACAAAGATTGGATCAAAGGATGGAGGAATTTTAATGCGGGCCATGAGCACCCTGATCAGAATTCATTCACATTTGCTCCCAATGGCGTGCCTTTCATCACTGAGGCTCTCTACGGGCCCAAGTATACCTTCTTCAACAACGTCTTGATGTTTTCCCCGGCCGTGTCCAAGAGCTGCTTTTCCCCCTGGGAGGGTCAAGTCACAGAAGACTGCTCATCAAAGTGGTCCAAATATAAGCATGACCTGGCGGCTAGCTGTCAGGGGAGGGTGGTTGCAGCCGCGGAGAAAAATGGGCTGGTTTTCATCCGCGGGGAAGGTGTGGGAGCCTACAATCCCCGGCTCAACCTGCAGAAAGTTCAGCGGAATCTACTGCTCCTCCACCCACAGCTACTCCTCCTTGTAGACCAGATCCACCTGGGAGAGGACAGCCCCCTGGAGACGGCAGCCAGCTTCTTCCATAATGTGGATGTGCCTTTCGAGGAGACCATGGTGGACGGTGTCCATGGGGCCTTCACCAGGCAACGGGATGGTCTCTATAAGATGTACTGGATGGATGACACTGGCTACAGTGAGAAGGCAACCTTCGCCTCGGTGACCTACCCCCGGGGCTACCCCTACAATGGGACAAACTATGTGAATGTCACCACACACCTCCGAAGCCCAGTCACTAGGGTCGCGTACCTCTTCATTGGGCCGTCCGTGGACGTACAGAGCTTCAGCACCCACGGGGACGCCCAGCAACTGGACGTGTTCATAGCCACCAGCGAACATGCCTACGCAGTGTATCTGTGGACAGGTGAGGCTGTGGGACAGTCTGCCTTTGCACAAGTCATCGCAGATCATCAGAAGATCTTGTTTGACCGAAGTGTGGCCATCAGGACTGCCCCTGTCCCTGAGGTGAAGGACTACGTGGCAGTTGTGGAGCAGAACCTTCAGCGCTTCAAGCCGGTGTTCCAGCTGCTGGAGAAGCAGATCCTGTCTCGTGTACGGAACACAGCTGGCTTCAGGAAGACGGCTGAGCGCCTGCTACGGTTCTCAGACAAGAGGCAGACCGAAGAGGCCATTGACAGGATCTTCGCCATCTCCCAGCGGCAGCAACAGCAGCGCAAGTCCAAGAAGAACCGCAGGGCCAGCAGGCGCTACAAATTTGTGGACACCGGTCCTGATATTTTTGCACAGATCGAAGTCAACGAGAAAAAGATTCGACAGAAAGCTCAGATTTTGGCGCAGAAAGAACTGCCCATAGATGAAGATGAAGAAATGAAAGACCTTTTAGATTTTGCAGATGTGACATATGAGAAACATAAAAATGGGGAATCGATGAAAGGCCAGCTAGGACAGGTAAGGATGGTGACTGCCCCCCGCAGCAGAGCCCCGGCGCTGTCCGCGTCCTATACCAGACTCTTCCTGGTTCTGAACATTGCCATCTTCTTTGTCATGCTGGCAATGCAGCTGACATATTTCCAGAGGGCTCAGAGCCTGCATGGCCAGAGGTGCCTATATGCAGTCCTCCTTGTAGACAGCTGTGTCCTGCTGTGGCTGTACTCCTCATGTTCCCAGTCCCAGTGTTAGCGCCAAAGTGACACGTTGCTGGGTGATGTTGTGGTCACAAGAGTCTATGCAAAAAAAAATGCATCAACCCAGTTTGTTACTGGATTTTTTCCCCCCTCAGATTCATTTTAACAAATGAAGGGAAGATATTTTCCCACAAGAAAGCAGGGACATGGATAAATCAGAACTGGAGCAAAGAATTGATCAAAGGACTAAGTAGTTGGGGGTCCTGTGGTGTTTCTGGCATTATTTGGCTTTGCTAATTTAACAGTCTGTATGATGTTACTCTTAAAAGAAACAAAAAGTCTATTTTTTTAAGTACTTTTTTTCTTAAGGGAAACATTTAGATAAAATTGGGTTTATTCATATTAATTTAATGGTATTAGTGACTTATGGATACTATATTATGGAAAAAAGTGAAGAATGCAATTCAGAGAAATACTGAAAATTTTTTAATGGTATCATCATGTTGAAAAATAAATGTCGCCAAGTCCTGGTATGGCGATGTCAGGCGTTCCTTTGGGGAGTGGTTCTGTAATTATGTATTTTACTACAGGAGCTGGATGACTCTTCAGATAAAATAGTAAAAATGATGGCAGAAGATCATTTGAGACTTAAAATACATTTTTGGGAGAAAACATGTGTCTGTGAATGAATATTTTCTTGATGATGCTGGTCTCTACACACATGTAATTGGTTACTTATGTGTATTCATTGGTGGTTCAATAAGTAAGACCATTGCAGATAACTTAATGTTATATGTTCCTTATATAGAAAATGTTGTAGACCCAGTGACTGAACTTTTCAAAATACAATGTTTTATATCCTGAATGTTCATTTCAATACCAAAGAAGATGGGGAATCTAAAATTTGGATATGACTCTTACTTTTTTTAATAGAAAACATTCTTTAAGTTTATTTTGCTAAATAAACAGATCATAATTGTGATTTTTTTCTTTCGTGTCTTTTTTTCTGTGTTCCTTTACATTTTAAATATATTCATGTTTTCTGAAACCTTTTAAGAGAGATCTTTATTTGGACTTGCATTCATTAAATGTATAAAGTAGTGTTTGAATCAAAAGAAGTAATTTCTCTGCTTAGTAAACTTTTTGTTGTTTAAACATGTTTTAAACATTTAAAACAATAGCCAACTTCTGATATTTAAGTAAAACGAAACTTTTAAAGACATGAAATTTTATCATTATTTTGAATCAAGTCCCTAGGGGGTAGCAGCAGCATGCAGTCCTGGAAACATAACTCACAGTTTATACTCAAGCATAAGAGAAGAGGGTACATAAGAGGAACTTGGCAAACTGCCATGCATGCAGCATGTTTGAGTCCTATATCCCTCCTTTGAAAATAGGAAATAAGCTCACGTTTACCCATGAGGACTCATCCACTGGTTTATAGGTCTACAGTAATCATCGTAATCCTTCCTCCTGCTTGCCCTTTTGGCTCATGGAAATGCCAGCAGGTAAAAAGACAAGAGGTGACGAAACTTGTGAGCATCACTTTGCAGTTCAGTGTTGCACTTTTTCACATAAAACAAGTTTGACTCCTAACTGTGCTTCACTCATTATGCTTGGAGCCTAAAAAAATGACTTCTGGGAAGTTTTTTTTTTTTCCCCATTTCATGGAAAGTCTCTAGGGAGGATGTCATTACACACTGTTTAAAAGAATAATGTTTTCAGAAGAACAATGCTTCCGTTTGTCCCGCATGGATGTGCTTACTGGGATTTAAACTTGCTTTATGTGACAGATTCTCTGTTTACTTAACCTCATTCGACATTCCTCTTTTCTGCTCTTTCTCTTTCAAAAGGATAAATTGTCTGAAATGATCAAAAGGAAATTTTGAAAAAAGGGAAAATTACTCTTTGAAGCTACTAAGCAAACCTGATCTCAAATCCCAAACAGGGCACGCTTTCTACCCAATGGAAAGTGCAGGCGGGTGCAAACGACTTTCCTTTTGCTTTTCCTTTTGCTTTTTCCTTTTCACTAGGTTAAGGCTGGACAATACATGAGTTGCCACAATATGACCTGGTTCAGCACATTTGTTCATTTTTAAAGTAATTTTTTAAAATATGGCAATCATGTATCTTTAAAACAAAATGAATTAAGACTACTTTTTTTTTGTCTTCTAATGGACCTGGTTTTTATTTCACTTAAAAAGAAATTTCAGGCAGTGATTTAAGTGGTTAAATGAAAAAAAGAATGCTGAAACACATCACAGCTCTTCTTAATGAGATATGTTTTCTATCAGGGATACTGCATATTTGAGTAAAACTAAGGAGCTCTTTGTAACTTCAAGAAAGTTAAGCAATGCTAAATCTCCCTTGAAACTGAGTAGTCAATTATGGAATCTATTGCAGTACTGCTCACTATGAAAGGAGTGTTTCAAGTTCATTGGATAATATGTGAGCTGTTGTTCAGAGGATTGGCAAGACTTTTGGTCCTAGCCTTAAAGAAAATTTGAGAATCCGTTAGCATACATTCTTCAGAGGTCATTGTTGTAATTGTTCAAGTCAGGTGGAAGACCTCATTTGTGGAGCATGTTCCCCTGAGATTCTCAAGAAAGGATGTTGGGGGAGTAAGATTTTGCCTCCTTCTGTGACTGAAAAAAATCTTAGTTCTCTCCTTCCCTTGAAGGGTGGTTTAGTGACAAATCAACTTGCCTTAGAACTGTGAAGGTTCCATGATTTGCTGATTTCTGGTGTTGCTGAGGAGAGATCTGTGAGGAGGGCTGGGGTTCAGCATGGGGCGACCGGAAGAGGAGGCTGTATGGTGGGCCTCACCGCTTGTGTCCCGGAGGCAAGTGGAGAGGGGGGACTGGAGGTCTCATCGTTCAGCAGATAGACACCCATCATCTCACCAAGTGCAGTGCTCCTGCTCTCAGCCATGATGTCTTAAAGTCCAGGTCCCTCTTGACTCAGTCTCTGGGAGAGTCAGAGCCTCAGCCTCCAGTGGAGTCTGTCTGGGTGTGCTTTCCCACTGTGGTTCTGTTTCCACCCATGTGCATTCCCACCTTCAGAGACACCTGCCACCCACTCTGACCTCCTCACTGTTCTGCTGAGAGAACTGGCTGTTGCTGCATCTCCAACCCTGTCCTCTTACTGGGTTGAGCTTTAGCCTCCTGCCTGGGTCCCATTTGTCGTCTACTCCTGGCGTCCGCAGTCTTGTCTTGTCTGAGTTTCCCTTCACTCATTCCACAAGTATTTTCTGAGCACCCACTAAATGCCAGGCACTCTCCTAGTGCTTGGAACACTGCATTAGAGAAGAAAATAAAAATTACTGCCTTCTTGGTGTCTACATTTTTAGGGATGGACCTGACATAATTTGCATATGAGTAAATTATATAATCTGTTGGATGATAATAGATGCTATGTGGAAAAAAGACAGGATAAGGAGACAGAGAAGGGAAGCCATAATGTTAAATAGGGTGACCAGGGTGGGCTTTACTGATGTCTCCACCTTCATTGTCTTTGTCATTTTAAAAACCCGTTCACTGCCAGTTTAAGGGGTTTTTTAGGAAGCAATAAAAATATATTTACATATTGCATCCGACATGTCTAAATGGAAGTCCACATCGTGTTTCAGTTGAGTTGGCAAATAACAAGAATGACAATAACAACACAGGTCTACAGAGCACCTGCCATATGCCAAGAATGGTTTTAACAACTGAAGATGCAGTAGACAACAGCCATGATAAGAACTGGTCCTCGTGTGGTTATATCCTCTTTGGGGTGACTGGGGGCAAGTGGTGGTGAAGATGGTGGAGGATAAAGCAAGGGGGTGAGAGGTGACGCTGAGCTGGGGCTGTGCTATGAAAAGTGACCTCAGATGTGGTTACATGTGGGCAGACACTTGAGAGGAGTGATGGAAGGAATCACAGGGATGTCTAGGAGAGCATGCCAGAGCCACAGCCCCAGGTCCTGAGCTCAGACATGTGTGGTGCATTTCAGCATGAGGAGGCCAGTGCAGTGGGAGCAGTGTGGGTGAGGGGAGGGCTGTGGAAATGTGGTCAGATCGTACACGCCCATATGGACATGGCCAGGTCATACAAAGGGAAACCCCAAAACACCAGAATTATCTTTTGGAGCATGGACCCCTTGTAGTAAGGCTTCCCCCACTAGATAAATGTTCTAGGAAACCATCAACATCCTTGTACCAGCCAGCATTGTTGTGAGAAGCTATGTTCAGCTTCAGTGAACATTTTTTTGGAGAGTCTTTCTACGAGTTTGCCCGTTTCATGATGGATGATTTACAAGCCCACACCGTGCTGGATGTTCAGCAGTTTTTGACCAAAAACGGCATGATCCCCATGCCCCACCCTCCCTATTCACCCAATCTTGCCCTGGGCCACTCTTTTTTTGTTTCCCCAATGAAAAAAGTCTTCAAGGGGAAATGGTTTGAAGAGGTGAAACAAAACAGCAGAAGCACTAAAAGGCATCAATATGAACAAGTTCAAAAACTGCTTTGAGCCGTGGAAAACATGTCTCAATAGGTGTATTGTATCCCATGGAGAGTACTTTGAAGGTGACTTCAGTTTAAACATGTAAGAATAAATACACAATTTTTTTATAACTAAATTCTGGTGTTTTGGGGGTCCCCTCTCTTACATGCCTTGATAGATGGCAGCAAAGACTTAGATTGAGAGAAGAGAGGTCAGCAGGGAGAATGAATTCCAGCAGGAGCAGGAATAAGCAGTGGGGGATGGAGTCTAGCACTTGGGCCAGCCATGTTGAATCAGTCCCTACCACTACACAATATGCCCATGTGATGAACACATGTCTGCCCCCTGAATCTAAAATAAAATAATAATAATAAAAAGATACGTCTTAAACACCCAGGTGGACATGTGCAAGCCTGGACTCGAGGTACCATTGCTGGTGCCTCCTTTAAGGTGAAATGGAAACTCCCAGCTGTAAAAGAGGAGACGTGCAAGCTGAATAAATGGACTAGCAGAAGAAACAGAAATGTAAAAGAGCAAGTCTGGTTCAGGAACTCACCACGTGGTATTGCTGGCCCACAGGATGTAGCATACAGAGTGGCTGGAGATCAGAATGGACAGGCAAAAGGGAGGGAATTTTACAGGGCACACTGAGGGGCTGGGTCTTATTCTGCAATGAGGGCTGCTCCCCCTTGCTGTGCCTCAGCGTAGCTGAGGGATACAACATACGCCTGTCACTCATGACATGGGAGGGATCTTCACAGGATAGGAATCATGTCTGGGATCAAAAGGGACATGGGCAACGGAGGTCATGGTGTCTTATGTACCTGTTCATGTGAGGGCTTGAAACATCCTTGCAGTGGTTCTGGCACGCCCCCAGAGTCCATATGTTGACTCTAGGGAGTCATTAGAAATTGCTGCACACAGTGGAGAGCCATGGAAGAATGCTCTTTTTAAATAGTCAGATTTGCATTGTAGATAACTTTAACTTTGATGTAGAGGATAGGCCTGCTGGGGAAGAGGCTAAGAAATGGTTTCCACAGTCTGGGAAGCAGGTAATGAGTTCCTGGATGAGTCTGGAGAAGGAATATGCAAGTCCCAGCTAACAGGCAAATATGTGACCAAAGAAATGTGTGTTTTGTGGAGGTATTGATCAGAGAGAGGATGAGTCCAATGGTGTGTGTCCCTGAGTCCCATTTATTGTAAGAAGGGCATGTTTGCTTGCCTTGGCTCTACCCTCGTCATACCAGACATCCCTTCATGAGCCCAGGAAATTGTCACATCTCTCTGCCATTTGCATTTTCAGTGTGCCTGTTCTGGGGCTTCACCTAGACTGCAGAGCTGGAATGCAGTGGGATGGCGGCTGGTGGGAAATGAGGCTGGAGAAGTTAAGCAGGCAGAGATGGGAGGGGTTGCTCCTCCTGATTTAATTTTAAAAAGAAATGCTGCCCACTACTTAAGCACCTTGATAAACCAGAGCAGTTGAATACTTTCCAAATCAGAGAAGTGA